CCCCAAAACCCCAAAACCCCAAAACCCCAAAACCCCTTAATAAGAAAAATAAATTGAACCTTAACTCCATTAATATTTTAAGAACATCTTCAATGTAATTAAGCTCGGGTCCATACTTCCTTCTTATACCTGCCATCCTTAAAGATTTTGCCAAGTTGCTTGGAGCTCCCAACAATTTCTTCAAGAATATTTTCAACTGCTTTAGCTGTTTTATTTTCATCACAGCAGAAGTAGACAGTTCCCTTCTTAACAAGTATTTTGTATTCAAGATCTTCATTATCTTGGTTAATGATATCATCTACATATTTCTTATCTGCTGGGTCGCCTATATATTAGCTAAACTCGATTACTTGGCATTGACTCTGAAATATGAGTTTTAAAGGAAGCATAAGGATTAGTACTGGCAAAATGTTCAAATAGAGCCTCTATCTCCTCTTTGTAGAGATAGTCATGAGCTTGATTTTTGATTCCATAGTAGAAATCTATGTTACCTAGGCCTTTTATTTCTTTAGTATCAAGCATTCTCTTTATTCTTCGAAGGACACCAATTAAGGGGACGACTGCTGTTCCTTGGCAAATGAAGATCAGCGGTGGTTGATATTTTAATTCTTTCTTGGTTGTGTTGAATAAGGACTTCTTACAAATCTTGACTTCAAACTCGACTTTATCTTCCTCAGATAGCCTATGCAAGTAACTGGAGCAGACTCCTTGCTTAGTGATGGTATGTCCTTTCTGAAAGATATCTTCTTGCTGATAACTCTCTACTTTAAAACAGATTTCAAGTTTGTTAGTATCAATAGAGTCTGAAGCTATTGAGTAAAATCTTGATTTCATTTTTGGAATAATTTCAAGAATATCTGTATTCACTGATTTTTCAGGATTAATGAATGTGAAGAAATCTAAGTAATTGAATTCTGATCCTTCTTGTAAATACTCCGAATCTCCTAATACTGATTTAAGAGCTTTCTGATTAACATGGCTTAAGAAGTCTAACTCAGTTGTAAGTCTATTTATTAAGTGCGGAGTTTCATCCCATTTTCAGACACTGATAAACGACTTCACACTTTCAATGCTATTCTTTGGAATAATAGAAATATAGGATCCTGGCTGGATATTATCTGATTCAGAGATAGTTCTTTCAAGCTCTAACTCAAGCTTAATGACTTTATTATACTCCTCTGACTCGTATGACTTGGAACAAATTGTAACTCTCTCAAAGACGTCTTCATCTTCATCAGACAAGTCCTTTGACTCTTCAGATTGCTTTACTTCCTCAGGACTAACGATTGCTTCATTCTTTACTTTTTCAACTGTTTCTGCTAAGGAGTCCCATAATCCTTTAATCCATGGATCTATCTCGGTTTCAAGGCCCTCGACCTCATCTGCTCTTGCAAAGTAATGAAAAAGTGTTGCTCCAAGTTCTTCAAATCATGAGTTGACTGTTATCGGAGATTTCTGGAAAGAAGAATAACCTAAAATTCATAAATATTACTATCCAAAACCCGCTTACCTGAATTTCCAAGACCAAGAATAGTGTAATGTAAGTGACGGAAGATCTTATTCCCAAGCCCGTCCTCCTCCTGAGCAGTTTTGCTATGTCTCTGTAGGTATTTATAAAAATTGCTCCCATTATCTGGGCAATCCCCATCCCCTGTCGAAGAGCAGACTATTACCACAACTCTTTTAGTGGTGATATCTGTGAGATCAAAGCTTTCTAAATGGTCGTCAAATTGATATCTCTCCACTGTGTATCCTTTCTCCTTCGCAGTGGTGTACAAGTTCATGGATATATCCTCTGAATTCCCCATCTGAGAAGCATAAAGGAATGTAACTATTGGCTCTGCCATTACAGAGTAGATTTTCAATAAATTTCATATAAATTGGGGTTTTGGGGTTTTGGGGTTTTGGGG